CGGTCCAGAAGGTAATTAGCACTTTTCCCTGGATCAGACGTGCATTTATAATATTTCCTCCCGAACTCTTCGAAAGGCTCTTTGGGGTCTTTATATGGCCTCATCTGGAGTATGGAATGCCAGCAGCTTCACCATGGATGAGGAGGGGTAACGACTTACTCGAAGAGGTGCAACGCAGAGCGACGAAGATGGTCAACGGTCTTAAGCATTTCTTTTATCAGGAGAGGCTGAATTTGCTGGCTTATTTCCTCCCTCTTATAGACAAATAAAATGTAGTCTACTCTGGACATTCCGGATTGTCCGCGGCGAGGGTTGCTCATTAAGAACGGAGGACTTCTTTGAGTTTGCTTGTACAAACCTTTTACGCGTTCACCCTTAAAATGTCAAGATTGAACGCATACGGCTATAGCTAGTAAGTTTTCCTTTAGCCAGCGGGTTGTTCGAACATGGAACTTGTTACCAATCGAGATTGTGATGGTCGAAGATATTAACCTGCTTAGAAAAAAACTCGCTCGTCTATTTTTCGACAGAAATCGGCTTTTACAGCATAACTGCCCACAGCTAGCTGTGAAACATTGTCATACACAACCTTTCCGCACTGATTTACAGTGGACTGATGCGCTTCCTTATCTTTACGATTTTCCTGTGACCCGATCACAATGTAAATTACGGCAATTTATTTTGAGTACGAAACTGCGATAGCACCATACATAAATAGGGTTATCAAGGGCTCTGCCTCCAACCCTCAAATATATACATACATACAAGCAGCTAGACACTAAAGGGTTCTTGTCGCTGAAGACTTCAACGCACCTGCAGTTAAGTGGGAATGTCTGGCAGGGGACGGTGTGCCAACTTCCTTAATCGTAAGATAATGGACCTCAAACACCACCTTCCTTCGGAACGGCATGTAAAGTCATCAACTGTATTCAAGGAGAACCAGGTAGCCAATTGCTTGAACCTGGTTTCTACGAAATACGTTTCTAATATTTACGAAGTGTTTTCCAGTTCACCTCTCGAAAAGGCTGATCATAATGCCCTACTGTTGGGATGCTCGTTCTTCTCTCAGCACCAGTGGAGGACAGAAGGACAAATTAATATATGGAAGGCAGAATTTAACATAAAGAAAAATGAGTTGATATCCGTGAATTGGGACTGTTTACTCAAGAGTGACCCAGAGGAGGACTGAAGATCTTTTAAGGCGATTTTACTCGTTTAGTTTTGGCGTTGTTGTTCAGTGCAGATATAAAACGGCTAGTTGACCTGCCTCGTTAAATATAAATTTGAATAGACAGTTAAGTATTAAAAAAAGGGGGAGGAAAATATCCTAGGAAATTATGTCACCAGTATAGCTCGAGGAGTTTCGTCTTCAACAAAATGGAGTCTTAGAATGCATCAGTCCGTCAGGGAAGGACTTCGAGTACAGAATTATCCGGCAGGCTGAACAAGAGCCTATATTTTACCCAACCATATTCGCAGCAGACTGAAAAACATAGACGTAGTCGCAGTACCGAGGTATGATAATGGTGAAGAAATCTCTGAAAATAGGGAGGAAGCAAAACAATTGGGACGGTACTTTGCTTCCGATGTTCACCAAGAAAACGGAATTTCAGCGCTACATCCTATGTCACTAAGCGTGTGCAATTCTCAACGTCTTCACTAGATAGCTCTGGTGCGCGCCGAACGCCTCCTCCGTAATGTGCGCACAAATGCAACCACTAACAATGAACTATAATGTTATTTGCTAAAGCTACTCCCCAGACTGGTTGCCTTTTCTTGCTCAAGTTTATTTTCGCGGATGTTGTGGTGGGCTCAAACGAAAATACAGCCTTAGTTTATATAAGTTCCATTATTTTAAAATTAATGCTGCAACCTCACGCCCAAATATCGCGCCCCAAATCCTACCATTCAACTAGGATGACCGACTAGTGTACTAAGTAACATAGATATGTTTCGACACCAAATTTCCGTTAATTTTAGTTTCCAGTGAAATAAACATAAATTAACGACTCACCTGTCCAGAAATGGTGGACTAAGCACAAAGTTCTTAGTACGATAAGATAAGATAATTTTTATTAAAGACCTGTCGGGGTCCCATAAAAGCAAGTTAAAATAAATTTACATGTGAGTTTTAGACAAGGTAGGCAGAATCTTTACAAAATGCAATTCATAGTTTCTGAATTAGTAGTCCATTGAGAAACATGATTAGTGAGGAGTGGAAAAAAAACTCCATACAAAAATTTAAAAATGACTGGATTAATTTGACAGGAGAAAAAAACACCCCAATAAAAATAATGACAGAAAAATGCGAGCAGGACTGGCCTGTAGGTGGCGGTATATAACGGATTGTAGTCGGACATCGTCAAGGTAGCAAAAATGTCAACCTTGAGGGGTAAGTATGCGGGTCAGACAGGACTGGCCCGCATGTGGTATTGTATACGGGATTCACAACTGATATCGTCTGGGCCGGATTGGTACGCCGCATGAGACTATTCGCGTCAAAGAGGCTAGACGAGAGGAACTCAGATGCGATCGGCCACAGCACGCTTCGAGCTCAGCCGAGCAGTGGGGAAGGGAGGTACGACCAAACTACTAGTAGACGGTGAGTACTGAGGATTCCGCCGTAAGCGTGGACAGACCGCATGAGGTCGGAATGCGGAAGATGACATCGAAAACCGCGAAAATTGTCGCTATGGGGGAGGAGTGATAGTAGTGGATTTAGAAACCAATTCAAAACGGGGGTTTCTAATGACATAATTAAGAGTTACCACTTGATCTACCACTAAATCCCAGGATGACCCTTTTCGAAGTCAAGAATCGGAGTATTCGGGAATTAGGGAATTAACAGTGCCTTTATGCTTTCCAGTGTAAGATGTTTGCGTAATTTCGACTTGAATATCAGTAACTTAGGCGATGATCTAATTTCAGGCGGATGATTATTCCAAAAAAGGCATATTTGGAGGCAAAGAAGAGGGAGCGCTTAGATGTGGTGCAAAGAGGCCGCGGAATCACCACGGAGGAGTTGTGCGTGGCCTAAGACCGATCTCTCGGAGTGAGAGTGTCAATGAGCAGTAGACTGGAGCTAGAGTTGATGCGAAAAAGGAAGCAAAGGCCAGTAGTCTACGAAATCGCGAAACTTGTTTGTAAACCTTTCAAAGCTGGACATTCACGGTTGTTTACATAAAAACTGGCCAGTACCGATCCAGCAGGAGCGAACAATAAAGAACGAAAATTTTAAGGTAGAAGTTGGTCCCACTTAACATTTGCATATAAGGATGCGAATAAAAGAAGAGGAGATATCAACCGAAAAAGACATATTTTGTATTGGACGTTTCGAGCAGTAGTTTCAGTCGCCCATCCTTAGGGATTGAATATTCTTGTGTACAACTGTCATGATGTGACACATTCAACCTGCTGATCAGTCTACCGTCAACGACTAATACAATGAACCAGACAGCGGTTTTAATGTGGCCTGCGTCGCTCCCACCCTGTCAACTTTTGGCGAAAACTGATGTCCCTGACTGTTCCATGCCTTCACTGTCTACTGTCAATGAGACTCGTATAACCATACAGACAGGAGGCAACTAAATTTTGCGGTTGAATGTTCAGCCCGAGAACATTTAGGCCTCATTCGCTGGCCTTGCTGTGTGATACTCACTTCCTCCCATAATCTTAACGACTTCGAATGTAAAGATATGCTCAGTCTGCACAGCGCGGACTGCCACCTCGTACTTTGGCCCCATATCTGGAACAACCCACGGGTGTATATTCATTCGTGTTTGGGGCCATCGACTTGTTTTGTCGACGTATTTCCACTCCAAGTAGTTGAACTGGACTCGTTAGACAACGGCCGACCTCGCCTGGTAATGGGTTGGGCTTTTTGTCCACATCACCTAGTGCCAAGTTGTAGATCAAAACCTGTAAATGCTACCCCAGGTGAATCTAACCAAGACTTCGAGACCTCATTCAATTACGTAACTATCCGCAATTATTTCGTCTGGCTGTATTCTTCATTGCCCATTTTACCAGGCATCGTACTTATGCCAAAAAGCGCTTGCTCAATAAGTTTACCAGAGGAGCTTCACTTCGCCAGCTACATACAGTTCAAATATTGTGTGTTGACACTCATTTGCTCTCGTGCTGTTTGGATAAAAGTAAGTTAGGATAGCATTGAGCTAATCTCAATGGAAAGCGACTGCATATAGTGATAAACTTCAACTTCGCTGTGGGCTTATCAACAGGCCAGCATATATTGATAAATTCGGGTCCCACTGCGATCAACTGCTCTCAGGTGTCCTCACTATATTTTGAACATATGTTCAGTTGTTTGCCTTTCAGATCTCTTCAGCTACGCCGAAAATATGCGCGATAAATTGTGCTTGTTACCCTCATCTAGTCGAACAAGGCCTTTTTCCACCGGTTAGAAACATACTTATAATTGAAAACAAGCATGTACAGCAGAATTTATTGGGGGCAATAAATTTCGTGACGGCTTTTCAACTGCAACCGGGAAAAAATGCTTCAAATAATTATAATTGTAGAAAAGGGCTTTCTTGATACCAACATAACGAATCTATCACGGCATCTTCTGACTTCAGCAAAGTATATGACTGTGACCCCGCGAATCAACTGCGTTACCGTTGCGCAGCGGCGACTTTGACTTTTCTAGCCAAAGGACTAGTCATTTTCTTTACGCTAATATCATTAAACGCCATCACCTGATTCGACGGTAGTTCCCTGTGCGGTATGTCAACGTGATTTTCGTAGCCGCATTGGAGATTATTTTCGAAGGTAAACGCAACAATTTGAAATCGGAGTAGGTCGGGCTATTGGTAATATTTTTATACATTGTGGAGGGGTCCGCTCTAAAATACGGCTGCTAAAATTTGTTTTAGACGGTTATCTAATCAATTGAACAAACCTATGTAAAGACTCCGAAATCAGCATCGAAACATTCTTATCTCTGAAAAATATCGGACAAAGGAAGGCTGCTATGAAATATGAAGTGTCGTAATAATGACAACATCTGGTAAAAAACTGCATTGCTAATTACTGACCGTTTAAAGTCGAATACGTCTTTTTAGAATACGGGAGTGTTTGAAAAAAAGTGGATTTGACAGCCTCCTAGTTATCTTAGGCATCGATAGTCGCTTTAATGCCGGATGTTACGATGCCGTAAAATATCTTCTTTGTCCCTCCGAAGTTGACAGTGTTTGGTCGCCCACACTGGAGTACACCGATGGTAAACCTGCACATGATTTCCATTATATCACAGAGTTTGTTATGTTGATCAAAATGGAAACGATCTACTGTTTCTGCACTAATGAAAACGTACGGCAATACTTAAGGAATCTCTTCTTCCTTTCGGATGTCGTAGTTTTTCGGTGTGATTCGGACGTAAGCCTTTGTTGATTGCTCGTTAACCCTTAATTCTAGGATCCAGACAAGTGTGAGGACATGAAGGTACGAGCTTTCAAAGCAATGGTTAATAACTGCCAAAGAATAGCAGTTCCCTATCATACAGGTAGGACCACTCTTATCATTGCGGCAAATTTTCTCAGGCATTAGTGGTGACGATTTTGAAAAGTCGAAACTGGAAGGCTGGCCTCTTATCCAAAGCTTCGCATGCAACGTAAATGATACGTATGTTCTCAATCGCATTCCAAGAGTTTTGTCGTAACAGCGAATGCAGACTTTGAAGGCTTTCAAATGCCACAAACAAATGCTTAGTTTCAGCATTTGAAAGGCTTTAAACTTGAAGAGCAAAATAATTGCATTGGCAAGCAACACGCGCGTTACTTTTGTTTCCTTAATTTTGGATATTATTAGAACTTTTTAATTAGTTAGTGTCAGCATTCTTAAACAATCTTGTTATACAAAACGTATTCCATTATGGAACTTATTTCATCCCTTTTCTTAGAGAAAACAGTTCCTTCTTCACACTGACATTTGAGGTAAGCTACTGACCGCTTTATTCTGATCGAAGAAGGTTGGGGATTTTTCTGCGTATTTGAATAAGTTGAAGAAACTGCCGGACCCCCTAAACTTTGAAGATTTGTTGCTGCATGTAGGTCCATAGTCATTCGTTTAATTTTCCCAGAACATATTTTCCCTCTGTTGGTCATTTGAGGCGTGCCTGCAAAGATTGGACGATTGCGCAAAAAACAGGACTGAGGGAACAAACATTTTAGAGGTAGCAACTAGATTTTCTCTACGCATACATGCTTAGCCTCTGCTGACCTACTTCAAGCACACAAAACTGCGAGGAAGTGCGTCATTTGCGTAAGTTCGGTTTTATGACGTTCAAATGCAGCAAATACTCGCCATTTGTACGAATCGGTAATGAATCAATCCATGAACCTATGACTGCTGCATGCAAGAAGACTGATGATCAGACCATCCATTTGGTAAATAAGCACTGCTAACAGCATTTGTGCGCAAACACTGAAATGTTTTGTTTTGAGTACATATGCTTTTATTGTTTCTTTTCATGATAAAGTCCCTACCCTCACGTTTATTTAGTTTTGGGTTTGACAATTTAAGCATTAAATAGATTATTTAAGTATCTAAACAACATTTCATTTTAAAATTGGTAATACGTCCCACGAAGACATAACATTCGAAGTTGGGATAAACTTGCCTGTTTATTTGCGTGTGCACAGATTTTAGGTGGCTGTTCCCCAATTGTTAATGCTCATTGCACGCGAACATACACCCTTGAAAGAGGAAAAATAATTCCAGGTAAGGATGCGGAACACTTTACAAGACTTTAAAGTCTTCTAATGCTATTTGCGTTTATATTTCCGAAGTCCTAGTATCATTCACGTTATTTGAATCTTATTGGCTGAACGAGACGTCTGAAAAAAGTTGAATATCGTTTCCTAGGGAGCTCCTGCCTATTAATGGACTTTCCACCCTGTTCATTCCTACGCCTCTGTGTCCCTGCTTTCTAGGAGTCGTTTTGAGGGTTCATATCTCCGCTCAGACATTTGGGCTTCAAATCACTCCAAACAGCATATTGTCGCATTTGCCAGGTCTACCCTGGTTCCGACAATTTTTTAGGAAATGCCCCAGTGACCTGGCAAAAATACCCGAATGGCACGTATTTATGCGAAAATATGAACAGTATTTTCACTTATGCTCATTTAAGAAGGCGGCACAAGGCACAGTTACTGATATTTGGTAGGATACCTGACCTGAAGTAGAATGGTGGCCTGTGTCTGCAGGAAAGCAGTTTGATCGCCAGTGCTGTTAAAAGGTTTTTTTGCAGGAATTCCGTTTTTTGCTGTCAAGGTCATACTCAAAAGTGTGGTCAAGCAAACATAAAAATGCCACTTTTCATAATTATCAAACTTCTTCTCTTACCTCGGTTTGTAGTTATACCATTATCTCTATCACCAGGTCACACGCGCTTAAATTTCACCAATCAGCTTAAACGGACAACAAAACAGGTTACTTTTGTTTTTTTGTGGTCCGCAATAAATAGTGAAACTTTCAGTAGTTAAGACATTGAAATAGTTGGGTGATCGAAAACGCCAAGGCAACTAAATGGAGCATGATCGCCCTGTTTCCTAATTACAACAATATTGTAGGATTGCAACTGCAGAGGCCTGACTGTGACATGCATCTTATTCGATAGTCAGGACGCGCGCAATCAGTGACCGGATGAAGGCGGCGCCGGAGGGTGTATGCATATTGGCAGTCAACGTGTTCACACTGTGCTCTGTTGGATAGCTTTTATGTTATGTTAGCATTGAAGATTTATAGGCTTTCCTTTATAATGGGGGCTCATCTTTGGAAAGGAAGCATCCCAGGGTGGTTGAAAAGTTGAATTGTTCTACGCTCATCTTAGCGGCCAACAGAAAGATACTACAGCCTGATGGACGTTCGTCCGCCTTGTCTTATCCTTCTGCCCTCAAACCAACCCAACCTATTTTCGAATTGTGATCCTAACGGAAGTGGTCTTTACGCCCGTTCAGTTCCCAACCCTCCTCCGTCTCGTAGTAGTAATGAATTCTTGTCGTTGTCCATATAAGTAAGGTGGATGTATATACATACATATATGAGATGGAGCCGACATCTATGTCTACTACTAGTCGCTGTGCGACTGCCTGCGAGGGTTCTAGTATGAACCCCAAGGCACAACGGAATGAGCATGTTCCGTAACCTGATCGGTGAGCGCCCACTATCGTAAATACATACATATATATAGGCAGAATGATATTAGCGACAAAGACAAGGGAGACTGGAATGGCCATTTCTGGCACATTAGCCGTCTTCAGCCAGTCAAACCCAACCCCTGGTCTCCTCTTAACACCGTAGAGAAATGCATGCAATATTGTTAACTTTACAAGCCACATTCGTAAATGCAGATACATGACGTTTCATGAACGGCCATTTAACGGTATTAAAAAATCTCACAATTAGAAACCTTTTAAAAGCTGAATTATACTC